TGGAAATGCTTATTGTACACCATCTTGTTCATGTAGACAATTTATTTGATGAAATGCTTGTTAGAAACTAGTTTGAGAAATTTGATGTAAATTCTAAAAATTGTTGATTTCATATAATGATTTTGTATTTAAATTATTTGATGAACATTTTAGAAATAGATGTTTACCCCTCATATGAGTTGTAGCTTGAAGTGGGTATTTGGGGACAAACAAATATTTTATATTATGCTGATATTCAATAATTTCTCTATGGAGCTGTATTGATCCAAATGCTTTCAAATTTTTACCACAGCTTCCTTTATGTATCTAGTATTTCTCTATAAAAATTTGTAATTTTAGATCAGCAGATATTTTTCTAAAAATTCAAGAGTACCTGCTGTCCATCTTTAAATCGCTGCTGGAAAACATATTTTAAATGAATTATTTAATCAACTTCTTGGCACCAGATCTTTATCAAAATTTTCAGATTTATTCTTTCATAAGTCTATTGTTAAAATAAATTTACTTTGCCTAATTCAGAGGTTAAACGAATTTTCTAAAATTTTTGAAGTATTTGTTGCCCAGATTTCCTTCGAACTATGTACTACTGATTTACTTCTCAAATCTGATTTAATTGGAAAATCTTCAGCCTCTATGAGTTGCTCAACTGTATTTCACTTTGAGTCTAGTTTCTAAATCATTTTTGTTTGCTCCGTTTCGATTTAAAATGAATTTTCTACAAATTTTTAAGTAGTTGCTGCACAGATTTTGTTTTGAGGATAATTGTGATGTGTTTAAGTTGATAATTATCATATTAAGATTAACACAGCGGCAGTGTGTTTGAGGTTCTTTAAGTATATTTGGGACAATGAATGGATTATGGGTTTTTATATTGGATGATTGGCGATAATTTATTCGGACGTTTTTCAAATCATATTTTATGATAGCCCATAATTTGGGTCGTTACATATAAAGAAGCTTTTAACTTGAAAAGGAAAAGAGAGGCAGGGATAGGAGAGAAACGCGGAGAGTGTGTGAGAAAAAGAAGAAGTTAGAGAGGCCGAACCCTAAGGAAGAACAAGGAGAACTGGGCAGTGAGGAAGAGGAACAAAGGCACAAAGAGTTGCCGGAGTTGGAGAAGAAGACCGGAGAAGCTTGGTGTGTGATTTTCAATCCTAAAAATCATAAGGCAAGTTTCATTTCTATCTCTTCTCCTTGGACCTTATAAACCCTACATCACATGTTAGACTTTAAGGATTAAATTAGAGAATTAAAAATGATATTTACCCTCTTGTGAAACAATAAATAGACTTGTATATTCATGTATATGTATATGTGTATAAACTTGCTTGATTAATTGATTTAATGTAACCAACGAGCTAGTGGTCAAGCGGTATCGGCCTCTTACTTTCCAAAGAAAGTTCAATGGTTCAAGTCTTAGAAGAGACATATGTGTGAGTATCAACTAAAAAAAAAAAAAATTGATTTAATGTATGATTCTTTGTTTTAATTGTTGGAGCATATGACTTTACATTATAATATGTGTTGTTGATCAGATGGAACATAGAAAACATGATTAAGGTCCCGAACGATGGAGTTGCAGGTCTGAGAACAGAATCATGAAACAGGGAGAAACAGGCTTCAGTCGACGCATAAGGGCTAGGCGTTAACCGGTTTGCCTAACTCGGTCGACTGAGTCTCTCCAGGCGTCGACCGATACACCCTGGAACAAAAGGGTTGAGTTTGGTTGAGTTGCATCTGTTTTAATTGTTTTGATCGGGTTTTAATTAGACCAATGTACTTGCATATGTACCTGAATGCATATAATATATTAGCATGCTCAGAGAATTGGATTGGACAATATTTAATCAACTACTCCCTCCGTCCCATAATAGATGTCCCTTATAAGGAGTATAACTTTTTAAAGGGACATGTAATTATTACATTGTCTCATTTGAAAACTATAAAGTTACCCTTTCAAGTTTAAATATATATATAATCAAGTTCGATTTTTTTTTTTTAATTTTAAGAGTATTTTATGGAAAGATGTGAAATACGTTGTTTAAATTTGTAAATAGACAAGTATTTTAGAACAACCCAAAAAGGAAAGATGGACAACTATTATGGGACGGAGGGAGTATTAAGTTGTAATTAATCTTTTATGATGCCTAAATTATGACCACATTAAATCCATTAATGTGATTTATAATTATAATCATGTATATTATTGTAGTTGTGATCTAGAACATGATCTTGGGTAGTACATATAAGTTGTGTTATTGATAGATATCATATTGATGAGATTGATGTATGTTTGTGATGGAATCATTGAGATAACTAATAAACTAGTCCTTTGATATTTTATGTCATTGTTAGATACGGAAATGAGTTGATGGAGAGAGATGGCTAATAAGTTTAAACTCACATATGTTGTGCCATTGTTAGATATGATTTTGTTTGTTAATGAAATTATACTATATGCATTTACCCTAATACGAGTTTAAGGTATCGGGATTAATGGTTAGGATGGAGGTGTATATCACCGAAAACGAGTAGCGTGTATAGGTAACTGGTGGGCCCTGGTAGTATAAGGGACTCTTGACCACTTTATGTGCTATTTTTCAGGTGATACCCTCTATCAGGTTGATGCTACCCTATACATAGAGGAAAGTCTATTAATGTCTATGTATATGTATGACTATATAGTTATTGTATGGGTTTTAGTTAGGGATGGATTTTTATTGGTTTTTTGATTGGGTTGTAGTAGAAGGGGCTTGTTCGTGGGATTAACCCACCATTGTTATATTTTTCAGGTCCACGACATTTTCAAACTTAAAGGTTGTTCATGCTGATCATAGACACTTCTTCATCATTCTTCCGTTTATCTCGACGCAAGACATTATCCCCTATTATTGATTACTTATTTACTTAGTTCAACTTATTGTTTTATTTAGAGGTCCATGATATACGGACTTTCGAGTTGTATTTTAGAAGTTATTATTATGGAATTATTTTTGGAGGATTTATTGATGTGATTTATTTATTAATTATTATTTAGATTTACTTTCAGCAATTGTTTATTATTATTATTTATTTATCTGTATTATGTGCTTGTCTATTATTAATTGTCTGGTACCCCCGTTTTTTGAGCGAGGACCTGATCGACCTGCGCTTAAAAATTGGGGGCTATCACATTTTTTTAGTAAAAAGAAAAATAATAAAAGCTATTAAGTGAACAAGTTACTATCCAAATAATGATAATTTTCAATAAACAACTCCAAACATAAAAGTGCCATACTCAATGTAATTAATTGATCTGTCTCTATATTGGTATTCTATATATTAGTTTTAATATATATTTTTTTGTTAAATTCATTACTAGAAGTTAAGAAAAAGAAAAAAATTTCTTAAAAAAAATTAATAAAAAAGTTAGATTGTCATGAAAGTGATTATCTTTCATATATATATATATATATATATATAGGGGCGGAGGCAGCATGTGCCCAGGGGGGCAGCTGCCCCCCTGCCCATGCTGCCCCACTATAATTTTTTATTTTTTTACACATAAATTTATAAAAATTGACACAATGCCCTCCTAAAATTAATAAAATGGCCCCTTTATCCCTGAATCCACTAAAATTTATTTTATTTTATGCGTATAATTTGTAAATATTTATAAAAACACCCTCATAAATTTTATAAATTATCCCCATAAAATTATCTATTTCTAAAAATGTCTTTAATTCTTTATTCATTTTCCTTCTTATACTTCAAATTTCTTTTTATCATCTTAAAAAACTTTTCCATTCTCTTTCTACAATTAAAACCTATTTTTTCCTTCAAAATTCTCTCATATTTTTTTCTTTTTATTTCATTTTCTTCTTTTTTTTTTTTTTTTTGCACTCAAGCATAATTTATGTGCAATAACCTTCTTTTTCTTTTTTCTATTCTTATTCATTATTCTAATGCACTTTTGTTACACTTATATTTTTGACCTGGTTGAAAAAAATTATTTTATCAATGTTAACATGCCCCCCCTGAACATATATTCGTGATATCTAAACTTATAACGTGTATATCGAAAATAATTTTTAGGTCGATTAGTTAAAGTGATTTGCATAAGGCCATGTTTGGTTCACGTTTTGTTTTAATCCGAAACAAAACAGTATTTTATTGTAAATTATTTTGAATAGTAATCGAAGTATGTTTGGTAATATTCATTTGTTATAAGATTTTTGGAAGCAAAAATATGAAAATATATTGTAAAAAAGTAAAAGTTTGAAAAATATAATGATTAATTTTTAATATATATATATATATATATATATATATATATATATATATTTACTGTTCATCATTATAGTACCCGTTGTTACAAGGCTAAAAAATGTAAAAATATCAAATTAGTGTTTTAATTTTTGACCACTAATCACGAAATGTTTCGACATTATGCAAAATAAAACATATTTTACTAAACAAGTTTTTTTTCCCTGTTCACTCTTACGTGGTGGTAAATGGACACTTGATTCTGTTTGATAAAACTGAAAATTGAGTACTAAAAATTTTAAGAGCTGAATTTTAAGTACCGAAGATTTCAAGTGATAACTAAAAAATAAATATTTAGATTTCAAGTGGTAACTAAAAAATAAATATTTTTTGATTTTTTTAAAAAAAATTTCAGTGATAAATGATGTCTCTCTTGTTTAAAATTTTATCATATTTTAAATGGTGTTTAACATTTTTAGTTATATTCAAATTACGTTATCAATCGCACTTATTGAATCGCACTTATTATTGAATAAGCACTTAACCGTCAAATTGAATTTTAAAACAGCACCTTAATAAATAAAAAAAATGATTGGCAATGAGCCAATGAGATCCCTCATTCTTATATACGGAGTATTTGATAAAGATCAAAAAAAATTACAATTTCCTTTATTTTCTTTAATTTCCTAGCAATTTCCATCTAAACAAACGGGAGTCTTAATGGAATGCAAATGTTTTGAACCAAGTCTAAGACACGTCATCAACGAGTCAAGCCTGCACTGGAATTGGATGACACATTTGTTTTGAAGTATCCGCCGGCTGCCACTGGCTAGATAAGGAGATGTGTCAAAATCCTCCCTTCAAAAACACATATTGACGTATACAATCATTTCTATATACACACATGTAATGTATACAGAAAAATTGTTGTTCATAGATTTTCATGAAGAACCTAAACCTCAAATTACAGAAAACCCTAGTTTTCAAGCACCGGCTAGTGATTCTTTCTGCAATCTGAATCGCCATCATCATCAACATCCAAGGCTGCATGAGTAGTCAGGTAGTACAGCACAAGTTGGGCTTCAAGGCATCAGGAGTGTTCTTGAAGTTGAAGCAAAAACAAGAATCATGGGTCTCGTCATCATTTCTCACCCGCCATCAACAACACTCTTCAATCTCTCTCCTCAAGCTCATGCTCCATCGCCGTCGCCTCCTTCTCGAATTCGATTCCACTTCTCTACTCGTCGACGGTTGAAATCCCAATTCACCTCTCCTCCCAGGTACACCCTCTTCTCGTTTCCTCTCATTGTTTTTGGCCCGTTTGGTGGCCGAGAAAAAGAATTGGGTGTTAAAAGAATTGGAACGCTTATTTTGTTTCCAGTTCGATATTTTTCTCAGCAATTGAATGATGGGTTTTGTGTTTCGTAGCTCATTAGGTGGTGATTATAATGCAGGACTTTATGTAGAAAATTATATGATTTTGTTTAGTAAGATTTGTTCATCTATGTGGAATTAGGAGAATTATATGATTTTGTTTATTAAAGTTAGATGCTTTTATTTTTTTTGGAAAGTGATTCTGATTTTCTTTTGAAATTTATGTGATGAGTACTTTAAAAATTAGATTAAGATTATTTTTCATGTCCTTTATGTAAAATTTATATCAGAAAACCTATTGGTGAAATAGCTTTAAATAAGGCAGCTCTAAGTATCAGCTAAGAGGTATATTTTTGTGGAAATTCTGTACTCACTAAGGGGCAAAGTGGCAAACACATTGTACGAGGCTCCCGCTATTGCGGTGTTTGGGGGAGGTCAAATGTATACAACCTTATCTCAGAGGTTGTTTCCTTGCTTTTAAACCAGTGACCTCTTAAGTCACAATGGAGCAACCTTACTCTTGCGCCAATGCTTGCCCTCTCTGTACTCACTAATTAGGTGAAATATGGTTAGTTTTTACTGAAAGGAAGATAGGGTTCTTCTTTGAAGCTAATTTTATACTGTATTATTTCTTTAAGGCAGAATTTATCAATCAGCATACTTGCCCTTATGTAGCTCCCCTACTAGTCAGGAAATCAGTAGTTTTGACGATGCTCTTGAATCATGTCTTATGCTATTAATAGATATGAAAATTTAGGATGAATTTATTTATTTATTCGTGCATTTTATCATTCGACTTATATGTTTGATCATTTTGTTCACAGGCTTGAAATATTTAATTCAAGATGTTCACTAACAAATACTGATGTCTTCAATGACGTTGCCACTGACGAGGAAGTTCATGAAGAACTTCCAACTGCTGCTTCAAATTGTTCAGTCCCGATTGTTCATCTCAAATCTGATATTCTTGATACTGAATCGCTGAATTTACTGGCTGAAAGCACTTATGTGGATACTCTTTTAACAGCATTGCCAGTATGTCCCTTATCCGCCCATATTTTTTTCCCTTACGCATCTAAGATGCTCTTGAAATTTTTATCTCGGTATATTGACTATTCATTTTGTCACTGTATTGTTGTTCCCTTTACAGGTTTTAACAGAAGAGGAGCAGAATGTCCTTGCTGCAACTCCTGCCCATCCTGCAGGACTGTATGGTAAGAGCACCCTTGTTAAGTCTAAAACACTGTAGCATTTATATCCATAACAACCAATACAAGAATTTGGCAGAACTATGTATACTTAAATGATATTTTAATATATAAGTGGAGAGTTATGTTCCTGACAATGTGGTTATTCTGCTTCCAAAATCTCCCATGTAGTAGTGACCCTCTGTGCAATGGGGATTTGGGAAATTGGGATCCAATTATTGGAGTTCTCCCAAATGGCAACTTAAAATTGATCAGCAATTTCAATTGTATATTTGCAAGTTTTTAATATTTTCACAATGAATAGGTTTGATCAGGTTAGGCTTGACATAAACAGAGAGGGCTAGTGATGTCTATTAATAAGTGATTTTTTTGCAATCTGTGGCATTCATTTATTTAAGACCAATCTTTAAAAGTTAAATATATCCTCGGGCTGCTTTGCATCCTTTTTAGTTCAAAAAGTTCCAACTAGTATGGTGGTGTTTGACCTTTACTCCAATTTAGTCATGATATTACTTATTCTTGGACACGCTGGTGTCATTTCAATCATAAAGTAGTTGTATTGCACCTATGTTCAATCGTCTGAGCAGTTTCTAACTCAAAGCTCATATAATTTTTTCAGCCTTGTATGTTAGTTGCATAGCTGGGAATCTGGTGGAACAGCTTTGGAATTTTGCTTGGCCTGCTGCCATTGCATTGCTACATCCAAGCCTACTCCCAGTGGCAGTCATGGGTTTTGTTGCAAAGGTTTTAATAAGTTCAATGAGATTAAGCAAAGCATATGAAATAAAGGGACAGAAGAATCTTCTTTTCTAACAGACTCCATGTTGCACAGCTTGCAGTAATTATCGGAGGCCCTTTGGTTGGCAAACTTATGGATCATTTTCCAAGAGTAACTGCATATAATTGTTTGACTCTTGTCCAGGTATTTCTTTCATTTAACATCAGTATTCAGCAATTGAAGCTGGATGTTAAGCTAGTTCTCTTTGAAAGTTGTCTTATAATAGTTCTCTCTGTCAGGCAGCTGCTCAGTTGTTATCTGTTGGAATGATAATTCGTGCCCATACTGCTCATCCCACTTTCTCATCATCTGTGCTTCTTCGTCCTTGGTTTATTGTGCTAGTATTAGCTGGGGCAGTTGAGAGGCTATCTGGATTGGCACTGGGGGTTGCAATGGAGCGTGATTGGGTCGTGCTGGTATGCTGGTCCATGATTTCTTTTTTTTTTTCTTGCTGCATACATACAATTTTATTTATTTATTTAATACACTGGAGTGTTGGAACTATTTTCCAATTTAGCATTCTTGCCTGTACAGTTAGCAGGAACAAATCGGCCAATTGCTCTTGCGCAAGCAAATGCTGTTCTAAGTCGAATTGATCTACTCTGTGAGGTGATTGCATATTGTGTTTTTTAACCTTATAATTAGACTACTTTACTGATTTATAGATTCATTGTCATGTCCTTTTGGTGTTGTTATTATTGCTACACTTTCGCTGCTTCTGTTAAATGTTTTAATAGATGTCCTTTTACATGAGATGTGGAATACTTGATATTCTTTGTGGAAAATTTGTTAAGAAGAAACTTACAGCTATATAATGTCAGATTGCAGGAGCATCACTTTTTGGAATTCTTCTATCTAAATATGACCCCGTGACCTGCTTGAAGCTCGCTGCTGGTCTAATGATATGGGCATTGCCTATTGTGGTACTTGTTTTGTGCTTGCTCTGTTTATGGTGCTTGGTTATATAGTTGTCTTTTAATTCTAAGGTTCATTTTCCACTTCTTAGGTTGTTCTCACATGGTTAACCAACAAACTTTCGACCGGGGTTCTTGACCGTGCTAAGTGCCCACAAACTTGCTGCAGAAGTGCCACTGGTGCACCTGTTCCGGATGTTGAGAATCTAGGTTTATGATCTTAATTGTAGCTTAAATGGGTCTCTTGACTTTTATGCTTACTAACTCTCCTTATTTTTGCTAACTAGTGGAAATGAGTGTTGAAGCTATCAAGCATGGGTGGGTTGAATACATGCAGCAGCCAGTTCTTCCTGCAAGCCTAGCATATGTGCTTCTCTACTTTAATGTTGTTCTGGCTCCTGGTGGATTGATGACGGCATTTCTAACACAGCATGGTATTCTCTAAATTTCTACACTTTGCATGAAGTTTCTAGAGTAGAGTTTTATTGTTAAATGAATTCAGACCCCAGGCTTTATGAGGGAATGCTCATATCTTGAATGAAGCAGCACACCTGAAAGTCCAATTAACTGAAAATATGGCACACATCAAAGAAATTTGCAAATATCACCTTTTTATGGGCCTAAACCAAGATTGGCTTCCTCTAAACTTGAATGGGTCATGATTCAAAGTTTCATTTCAGGAACGGTTTTTGGGTGGAAACTCAATGGGGACAATGTCATATGAAAGAGGAATTGTGTGTAAATCTTGTAGAAACATTAATCTAGTCCTATTTTATGCAAGAACAAAAAATTAGAATTTAAGTGCTAAAATTCGTTTTATAAATTTTTATTTGAAACTAAAAATTGAGCACATATATAGGAGCATCCACGCAAGTAGTACAATTAAAATTTTAATTTTCATGTATAACCTATTGCACAAAGTATAGATTTTTTATTTTTTGAAAGGTTAGATTTTTTAATATTTTTCCTTTAAAAACCCTTTGAAAATGCTAGTTCTTAAATGGGCCGATCATACTTCAAATGTATTGTGATAGAGAAAAATAGTTATCTATAAAATGAGCTTACAAATTATGCATATACTTTTATTATCAGAAAAGAATAATGAATACATGCGACAGCATTGTAATTACTGTGCTTTAACATTAAAACCACTAACTTTTCAAGTATTAGAAAATTCCAACATTTTATGGATTGGTATATTAGTATCATAAATAGTATAAAGTAGTTTCAATAAACAGAATATATATATTTCAAAGATATATTCATGTCTGGTTTTTGTTACTTGAACAACTGAAACATGCTAGCTGATCACAATTATTCATATACTTGTTTTATGTGATTATGGAATAGAGGACCAATAAAGACAACTGATATTCTGATGTTAGTTCTTTTAGTTTGGACACTTTGGAGTTGGATACAAGATAGGGGGTTTGGGGTCCTGCCACAGCTTCTCCTTATGGGGGTGTGGGACCAGCCCAGCTATCTGAATCTGAATGAGTGTCTATCTTTTCTGTACTGGACAATCAGTTCAAAGCGCATTTATCTAAGACATACAAGTTGAGATTATGTTCGATTATTGAAAAAGTTACTCAATAAGCTTTGACCACTTATTAGTTGGAAAAGTGGATTTGAATACAATGGCAGGACAGTTTGGGCAAATATTTTCAAAGGTTAGTTCTGTACATAGTTGACCTTCCTAGCTCCCTGGTGTAATTGTCCAATTAGGTATGTGCTCTCCATAATGCGAGGACACGAGCAAAGAGTTGCTAGCATACTCTAATGTGACTACATTCTGTTTTCCTTTTCATTTCTAAAATGGAATTTTGGCCGATACATTTAGAAACTTTCCGAGTGTGAAATTCATTGATTCCAAGTCTAAGATATAATTTTTTGGGATTGTTTAAGGTTTAAATCCATCAATCATTGGGGGCTTCAGTGGATTATGTGCTTTCATGGGTGTGGCAGCAACTTTTTTATCTGCAAATTTGGTCAAGCGACTTGGCATTTTAAAGGTTATTTTCTCTGTATATACATTATTCTATTACCGGTCTGCTAACATTTCCTGTTATTACTCATACTCTTAAGTCTAATTCTAATTGATTTTCCATGCCAGGCTGGAGCAGTTGGACTAGTGTTACAGGCTTCACTTCTTACCGTAGCCGTTGCTGTTTATTGGAGTGGATCTCTCTCTCAGCAGACCCCACTTCTATTTTTCTTGTGTTTGATCGTAAGTGGCACCCCTCCCCCTCCTCCTCCTCCTCCTCCTCTGGTTAACTTCATTTGTATCTTATACATATATACATACATACATACATATATATATATATATATACATATATATATATATATATATATATTTGTATTTGTGTCTGTATGATTATGCAGGCATATCTGTATGCCTAACTAATGTAAGTATGCATGATTGGTTGCTTGTGTGATATATGCTTGAATTTACGCGTGTGCAGTGTTATTATTATGTAGAAAAATTGTTTTGGTTGCAATTTTTGATATATTGATGTCTTATTTGTATGAATTATTAAACGAGTTGACATACTTTCTTTTTGAAGGTATTGTCAAGGTTGGGACACATGTCATATGATGTTGTTGGGGCGCAGATTCTTCAAACTGGTATCCCAGCATCTAAAGCAAATCTAATTGGGACAACAGAAGTTTCTGTCGCTAGTTTGGCAGAGTCTGTAATGTTTGGAGTTGCAATAATTGCAAACGACGTTTCACATTTTGGAATTCTTGCGATGCTGTCACTTCTATCTGTGGTTGGGGCAGCATGGTTGTTCTGCCGATGGTTGGTGAATCCTACCGATGCACAAAGAAATCTTTTCTCTTTTGACCGTCGGTTTTAATTTTTAATGTAAGTATTTTATTCTCTGTTTCTTAGTTCATAGCTTGGAAGAATAGGTTTCCGCACATCAGAAGGCTGCACACCGTTTCTTTTTAAAAGATATTTTATGAACTCGTATACTTTTTAAGCTCAGGAACTGCCTACTTGTTTTTCTGTCTGGATATATCAGTCGGTAAGCATAAGCCTCTTCTTGGATAGTTTTGAGCCAGGTACTGCCTGAAAATATTAGATTGTCTGTGGATGCAACTTAAACAGGATGACTTATTAACCTAGAATATTTAGTAATTATTTCTCATATGCCTTACCTAGTTGACAATTGTAAAGTTATACTTGAAATTGGAAAAATGAGATCTAGTCCTTGCAGTCCATCTACTGAAATGTGGGGAGTAACATAATAGGACAACGAATGCCAAATCTTGGAGACACCCAACATTAAGGTGCTACTTGTAATAACTAAAATGTGGTTTTTTAAAACTCCTTTTGTGTAGGGAAAATCTGCCATCCATGAAACCTACACCAAACACATGGAGTCAACTTGTCATTACATATATGAATTATAAAACAAAAATTGATAACTTCATACACTAGTTTGAAGTAAAGGAACGTTGGCATCTTTGATTTTGACCAACTTGTGGTTGAACATTTTTAGTGTTTGTATTTGAAAAAGAAAAAAAAAAAAACTTGGCAGTATAAATAATCTATTAATCCTTTTTTTTTTAATTTACTTTTTTTGGTTTTTCATTTTTTGATTGGTATCACGATTATCTAAAGTAACTTGTTTTCTTCTCATATTGTGAACAGTTGCACAGGTGCTAATTTAACTTGTATTGACTGAAGCGTAGATAGGTTTACACGCCGCCCTTTTCTTTGTCAACAACCATCCATTTAAAAGAAGGCCAAGGTAAATTTTCTCAATTCATTTGGTTGCTCACTGTTGTAATCTGAATTCTGTGACATTATATCAAAAATAAAGTGGCAAATATTGAATCATTGCAACCTGCATACCATCTTCCCATCTGAGCAGAAAATGGTTATTGAGTGATGGTGGCCTGAGATGTAAAAACATTTAAATACATTAATGAAGCATTGGCTCCATCATTGTTTTCCTGGCAATTAGTACTTTTGATTCTGAACCCCTTATCCTTCTATGCCATCTTTCTTGCAGGTATATGGGGTGATTTTGTTCATATTGGATTTGTTAGTATAACAGGAGAAATTATAATTCCGTAAGCTAAGTCAAATCATTTTACGCTTTTACGCGAATAATTTTCATTTTTCTTTATATTGTAAATTGGTGTTGTAAAAATTCTCAGCAAAAGATGGGAAGGCCATTGCCCCCATTATTACTGTTAACAAAGTTGAAAAACTATCTCAATTCATTAGATAAGTGGCTCATCTTACATGTAACTTTGCATTGTATCATACCTCTGCGCCTTACTTACAGGGGTCGTAACAATTTTGGACGACTCAAGTATATTTCACACCCTCTCTCTCTCTATATATATTATGCGTGTGTATGAAGAAGAAAAGACTTGTTTTCAGTTGCATACAGCGAATTCGAGAAATTCTATAGCCTTTTCTCATAAATTCATCCTTTGATAGAGTATCAATACCTCCAATCTTGAGGACCTTGGACGTCGGTTGAATCGTTCTTTCCGTGGTTTTTAGCCAGCTCGAAAATCAGTAGCCTTAGTTCAGTTGAGGCCTCTGCTGGATTTCTGCTCATACTTGCCTATCTTTATAATTCCTTCAATCATTTTCATCTGCAACGTCACTGGGATCATTGTACCATGATCTTCGTAACCTATGTGATCATGTGATTTGTCGGGGAAAAAAAGAAGAAATCTTTCTTTAATTTTAATCTAGTTTTCAGTTGTTTCCTGCATAATATTCCCAACAACCAAATGGAGCTTTAAAGATCAATGTACCAGAAATGGCCTTTCTTATTCTACAGCAAAATTCAACCTTGTTACAGGGTGACAGATAGGTGCACAATGGTTGTCTTGGTAAGATGGTATGTATCTAACTCTGCCCTAGCATTACCTCGTCTGTATGTTGATGGGCATAGATTGAATAAAAGTTAAAGTTTGAGATTTATATTTTGTACAAACTGACAATGCTTGGCCTTAGTAATAGTTTTTGTTTTTATTTTTTTTTCCTTGACCTTTTTTTGGGAAGTAAGAGGCTGACCACTGGCTCGACCTTTCTTTGGGAAGTAAGAGGCTGACCACTGGCTCGTCGGTAATAGCAGTTTTCTTCGTCCATTGATGGTACTGTCGGGCTTCTTACAACCCCATCATTAACCATGGGGCACATATATATGGAGCAATTACCGGAAAAAATTCTCTATGCAATTTGAATAGTATCAACTTTGTCTAACCTGACGTGCAATTATTTTGTCATGTAATTCATGGTGATTAATCCATACATAATATGTTTTGGTTGTAAAAATTAACATTTTACTTTTCTGAACTTCATATAACTTGTTTTTATTGAAAAGGGAGTGACATAATTGTACCATCAAGAAGAAGCGTGTTTGTTTATCAAAAAAATAAATGTGGTGCAACGGCGGATTCATAAAATTTTGTGAGAAGGGTGTTTGTTTATTAAAAAAATAAATGTGGAGCATTCAGAAAATTATGTGAGAAGGGTGTTTGTTTATTAAAAAAAATAAATGTGGAGCAGCAGTGATGGATCCAAAAAATTTTGTAAACAGGATGGCTTTTTAATCTGTGAGACAAACTTATATGGTGGGTCTATTTTTGCAATTTTAATGAGTTTTTTTCATAAATTTTTGAAAATTTAAATTATAAAATGCCAAAAAAAAAAAAATAGTAGGGCAAATTGTAATTTTAATAGCGATATTTTCATAAATTCACAAAAATTTAAAGTTTAAAAAAAAAAAAAAACAACAACAATGGGGTGAATTATAATTTTAATAGGAATATCTTCATAAGTTAAAAAAAAATTAAAAATTAAAATATAAAAAATACTGATCCTACGCTAGGTCCATGCAGGTGTGGAGGACAACGGGAATTATTTGTGAGAGAAAAAAATAAAATTTTGAAATATAAAACGCCTGTGGTCTAGTAAATATTGAACGGGGAAGGGAGAGAATTTCAGTCTCCCCCATGAGTCATATTGTTGAATTATTTGTGAGAAAATAAAAATAAAAAGTCAAATTTGAATTATACAAGAGAGGAAAAAGTGAAGGGTACAAACTTTTTTATAATGTAAAGTGACAAAATATCTTGCATCAAGTTTGGCCAAATTACTAGTTTTATTTAGTTATTATAGCTCTTATAAATGTGCACACACTTACACTATTGACGAGTATCAGCCTCTCAAAGACTCTCACTTGTAAGAACGTATATGTCCATTTAATAAAATTTGTCGGTTATAAAAAATACTTTCAATAAGTTGATATATAGCCTATTTTCATTGAGTGAACATATGCTTCTAATAAAATGAAGCATTTGTTTAAACCATAATTCACAATTTCTGATCTCAAGTGGACCTCTCACTAGGATTCGTACTCAGATGAAGTTCTGACCATCTGTTAGAGAAAAAAATGATTTGATTTTGTAAGATTCTCAAAAAATTCTTCGTTTTCTTTCAGAAGCATATGATTCTATAATCGGGACATTGAGAAATATTAAGAAAAGCATTTCAGAATCAGTTTGATTCTATCTTTATTGTTCCGTTTGAAGAAAGAAAGGATCCAAAAGAATTTATCTATGTTCGTTTGTTTGACGGGTTTGTCTAAACTTGTTCCTAATCTGTTTAATTAAAAAATACTCCCATACACTCCGCGACCCTATTAATTGTACATATAACAAAATAAATAATAACCAAAAAAAACATTGGGAGCCCATTAAAGAGCAAGCCGAAAGCACTGGAAGGTTTAAACCACAATCCACAAGCCCAGTACCAAACTTAATTCGGGCGTACAACAAAAGAAGGTTTAATATAATCAAATTACACACAACCAATATTTTTTAATCAAATTACAGACAACCAAATCCCACCGTAACCAAATTTAAAATTTTTAATACAAGATTACATTCCAAACTATATATAAGGTGGATAAGGGTATATGAGTAATAGTAGAATGTAAACGGGTGGGGGCAAGACGGTTACGAGATGAGTTTTTATCAAACACCAACCCGTACCCATGACGGAACGGGATGGGCAAAATTGTCATTATACTGCTTAGTTATATAACACGTCCTGTTGGGTCTTGTATCAGTCAACGGCACGTAGACGTCACGCTTGATGTATTATTTAATTACTATATTTTTTTAGTACATATAATATAAATGATAAACTACCCAGTCTCAAGTCTCAACATGCACAAACAGGAAACCCTAGGAGCAAACCCAAGGCTTTAAGTTTCGTAATCAGTTCTTATTCCACTATTATAAGTAACCCCTGTAATTAACTTTTTGTTTAGTGCTCGTGTTCTACGAAGCATATAAATATATATTATAAACACACATATACGTACATTATATACATGAAAAAACAGTACTTAATATATTTTACAATTACATCAATCAGTCAATTGTTCTCGATTAGACAGACACACGTCTTTTCCTCTCTCATTTCATTTCATATCATTTTCTTTTCGTTTCTTTTCTATCAAACAAAAGAGAAAATTTTCAATTTACACAAACAAAAGCCAGTCACGTGAATCAATAAGGCCCCCGTGTTTTTCGCGTGTACTCTACGCTTCTCTCTCTTCCCCTCAAACTCTGCGCCACTGTCATTACAGACTAGGAGTATTACACACACGGAATATATATCTACTATATGTATATATTTATTTATTTATTTTTTTAATAAAGTACATTAACACTCCTTAAAAATTGAGGTAAAGACACACACATGAAAGTTTAATTATTTTCAAACAATAACACTTCCTTAAGTTTAATACAATTGCCAAAGACACCCCAATACTAATGAATTAATATTTTTACCCTTTGACTTTTATATTGACTAATTAAAGAGTTGAAATGACTTTTTTATCCTCAATTTGCAGACTGTCCTTCTCTAGTTCTCTCTTCTTCCTTACCATCCCCAATTCCACCAAAGCTACTTCTTTATCCTTCAATTTTTTCTTTTTTTATATACATATACATACATATATACACACACACACGAAGATAATTATATATACACATGGGCGGTGGCGACAATGATGTTGCAGTAGAGGCAGCGACGGTGATTGCAGTTCTGCCGTCCTCTAAGCTCACCGCGCCGTCCTCTAAGCTCACCACCATTAACTCCAAACTTCCGTCCCTCCTCTTCCTTCTTCTTCCCCCAATTTTTTGAAGCGAGCCCACCGCCATTCTCAAAACTTCCGCGCCTCTCTCTGAGACTATCAAACGCACCACGATTAGAAACATATCTCCGTCCTTTGGACGGAACAAAGCTCTTATTAGAAACCCAACTCTCCGATTCGTACGCCCTCGACCGTGAATCAAAAAATCCCCCCTTCTTTCCTCTCTCTTTCCTTTCAAATCCATTACTAAACGATGATTTCTTCGAAGCCCCCCAATCATCAGTCTCTTCAGCGCAAGAAGGCGCCAATTCTCTGCTCGAATCTCTGCCAAACCCTTTTTGTCTATGAGGCTCGTCAGAAACCCATAGAAGAGTTCCACCTAGGGTTTGACGATTCGTCTCTGCTCAAATACCTGTTCGAACTGTACGATTTGAACCCGCCACCTCTGGACCGCTCCGTCTCCTCCACAGTTCTCTCACGAGGACCGGTCGGAAGCATCATGAGATCTTCGGTGGTGAGGGCTTTGGCTTAGTAGACTTGAGCCGACTTATGGCCGGCACTGAAAGTGGAGAATTCGGTCAGAGATATTGGCCCTTTTTCTTCTTTATCTTAGTGGCTTTCGTCGAGAAAAGGGGAGGGAAGTCCATGAGCGCCGCCGTGTCACGGAGGAGATTGGAGGCATCGCCGCCGTTGAAGTGTTTGGAGTCGTTGTCGGTCTTTTGCTGAAGAAGCTCGTTTTCGTGTTCTTCGGAATGGAGTGCCCATGCGCCTGGTTTGGACCACGCATTAACAGTTGCCACCATAGTTTCTCTCTTTAGAACTCTATTTCTTTCTCACTCTATATCACAGTGTAGATAGGTCGAGATAACGTTCTTTGGCAGCGAAGAGACCTGTTATATAAATGGAGGCTGTGGATTCGTGTCAATTGGAGTAAAACGTCCCTGTCGTTGAGACCTTGGTCTTCGAAATCGCTGACGTTGTCTCATCTCACCGCCGGTGATCCCAACAACCTTCACGTCGGCGATCCCACTACACTGAATGTAATACCCCTAATTTTAAAAGGATAGCCTCGGTATTTATTTATTTGTTTTAATTGTATTTTTTAATTATTTAATTAATTATT